CACAAAACCCAGAGAGGCAAGTGTTTTATCCTTAATTTACTCTTGAATCATTTGAGCCTCAAAGATGATGTAAGCATGCTGGCAAGGAGCAAAGGCATCCCGTGGACCTTTGCCTACAAGCTGCTGTTCCTCACCTCAGCCCCGGTGCGTACAGGTACATTCAGATGTTGTTGCTTTGGTATTCACAGGACTATCTCTCATCAGCATCACTTCACCCACCAGTGAAGGAGTGAATTCTGTCTGTTAGCTGGGGAAGGAAAAGTACACTTGCCCTATCCAAAGTCAGATAAATCTTCAGTTCTGGAGGACAGAAGAAGCCCCTCATTCTAAAGGTCCTCCCAGTCAAGACCATTCAGGGACCACCATTCCTTTGGCATCAGCCCATGGCCTGAGGAGTGCCTAACCTGGATAGCAGTCTGCATCAGAGTGGACTGGTTAAGAGCAGGGCTTTGACAGTAATGTATTCTGCGGATCAAGTTCTGGCTGTGTTGCATGAATTGCATGAGTCATGTTCCCCCCCGAGCCTCAGTTTTCTCATCTGTAAACTAGTGATTAGAAAGGCAACTTCTCAGGGTTGCTGAAAGATTATAAGAAATAATGTATGCAAACACATAAAATGCTTAGCCTAGTGCTTGATTGCTTGATTAATGGAAGCTATTATTACTCTTAATGACTAAGGGCACTGGGGCTGAGACAGTTTTCTGGCTGCCTCCAAGCAGAAGGAGAAATGGCATGCTCCCCCAAGCTTAGCGTACATTTCACCCCCATTTCCAGGTGTGGGGAAAGCTCCATCACACCGCTCCCATCAATAACAGTTGATTCCAATCCCAAGAGAGAGCCCAACTGCACGTGGACTTGCAGTTGGAAGGATGCTGAGGCACAAAAGTAAGCATGGAGGGAACCAAGGACGTGTGGCCCTCCAATGTGTGGTAGAGCCTCGAGTTCAGCAGACCCCTGCACATACCAGCATGTGTGGCCCAGGCAAACCGGCCTGCAGGAGGCCAGCGACCCTGTGCCCTGTCTCAAGGATCCGATGTGTGCCCAGGATCCCTGTGGAGGCAAAGATCCTGCCGCTCTCTCCATCCACCAGCACACCACTCCCACGTGCATGCACACACATGCACACATGTGCACAGGCACATGCACACACAGACACATGCACACACACACAGGCCTACCCCACCCCCAACACACACACAGCAGTCAACATGCCCTGCAGAGACACCTCACTGGTCAGGCACTGGAGCCTCCTTGGGGGCGGGATGTCCTGTGAGGCACTTGCAGCCCCTCCATGGCTATAGAAACTCACTTTCCCCTCAGCCCTCTTTCTGCCAGTCACCTTCTGTCAAGGAGTGATTACGCTCCTTTCTGTCAGGAACACTGAGTGATTGTGGCAAGAAAATTGCCTTCAGCGATAGGGATTTAAGAAACGCTTTTCCTGAAAATAGTGCTCAAATTAATTAACTTGGAGGAAAAGGTTGTTCTTTTTTTTTTTTTTTTTTTTTTTTTTTTTGGTCTGGATTTAATTTATTTTTTCCCAAAGAGTTTTTTGTTGTGTGATGAATAGTGAGGAGGGTTTACCTCCTTGGACATACAGCTGGAGTCAGGGAGGCATTGCAGGCCCCCATCCTGTGAGACACCAGAGGCATGCTCCTCGGAGCCGAGCGGGCAGGGAAGTGGGAGGGACCGGCCGGAAGCAGGATGCGTTTGCAGGAGGTAGTGGGTGTCCACAGTAAGAATGTAAGATAATAGTGGCAGTGGAAAGCACACGGGGTAGGCACACAGCTGCCTGGGTGCTGGCACCGTCCCTGACACTAACTGGAAATGTTCACTCGGCTTCTCTACAATAGGGATGTGATTCTGATTGCAGCTGCCAGTCAGGCTGGTTGCTGGGAGGACCAGATGAGGCACACCTGGGGTTATATTTTGTGCTCAGTTCTGTGATTCCTTCATGGACCCTGACAGGAGAGTGGTTCAAGGCCACGGGGCAGAGGGCGGAGGGCAAAGAACAGGGGCTTTCTGAAATCAAGGCCAGTACCAGTGTCACAAGCTGCATGATCTTGGCTCAGTAATCTGATCTCTCTCAGCTTTTATGCCCTCGTTGTAAGATGGGGGTAAAAAATAAACACATCAGCATCATTGTGAAAAGCAATGAATCAACTAAAAGACTCAACCTAAAATTGATTGATAAATAGTAATTCCTTCCTCCATCCTAGTCCTATGCAATACACTAATAGGCACTCAAAAAATGTATGTGTATATTTTGAATGGACAAAAGTGATTAAATATTATGCATGCATTAATTAATAATGACTTTTTTTTGCATGCACACTTTGATCTCTGTCAGGTCAGAGTGAAAACCATTAAAATATCACATAAAGGAACTCCCAGTGTCTGTGGAACTTCGAGATCACCTCTGTGACTCACTCAGCTTTCTGACAGCTGCCTTTTCTAGGCCTTGTCCTCCACTTATATTCAAGAAATACAAAGATATTTCTTCTTCACCTTGACCAGCATTTCTTACCTGGAGTACATGGACGGGCTTTCTAGGGTCCACAATCCATACCTGCATTTGATTCATCGAGTACTCTTGGGCATTAAATCCATAGCTTTCACTGGGACAGGGATGGGCACAGCTGTGACCACACACACACACACACACACACACACACACACACACACATTCCCCAGTCCTGATGCCCCCACCTGGCAGCTGCACACTCCTGAGGACTGAAGAGCTGTGCTCCTGCAGCCTCTGCCTCTCAGGAGCCTGTGGATGTTTCAGAGCATCTCACCAGCCTGGCTCCAGGCTGGGTGTGCACAGTTTGCAGGTGAAACAAAAGGAAGGAAATTATCTTGCCCTGAGACATGCAACAAGAACATTCCACTCATCTTTGACTACTAACCCATAATTGAGAGGAAGGCAAGCAGCAGATCTCATGCAATCAGGGTGACTGCTGAGGAGTTTTAAAGCAATCAAAAGGACTCTCCCAGTGGGAACCACTGGGGCTCAGGTCCACCTCAGGGATGCAGCCCTGAGATCCCTGCTCCGAGATCCCAGCTGTGGTCAGAAGAATGGCAGGCGCGCAAACACCATTTCTGATCAAAGGCAAGAGGGAGGCATGCATGATGCCTTTCCTACTTTCAAAGAATTTTAAAAGAAAGGCCATGCTATGAAATGGGTTTCGCATCATTTTCATATAGACTGTAGGACATCTTTGGGTTGGACACAGCCTAGGACCTGCATTCAGATACTCCTACTATTACTACTACCATTAATAATATAAGTATTACCTTATTTTCCTGATTAGTTTCTGTGTTTATACAGTAGTCAAACACCGAAGGCAGGAGGCCTAGGGAAGTGAATGCAGAAGTGGGTACCCAAGCACATTGTGACATGGATAAATTAGCCCCGTTTCAAAACTTGGAGGAGTAATTAAAGACAGATGGAGAACTGCTCATACGGACCTCGGCTTCTATTTCCTCGCCTCCCACTCAGTGCCTAGCGTGGAACTTTACATACAGCGAGCACTCAATACTTGTGAAATATCAGGGAGTAGTCACGATTTTTTTCCTCACCTTCATCTCAAGAATAATGACAGCTTTTATTCATTTCAGCTTGGCTTCTCAGAGTGCAGTCCGTGAACCTTTGCTTCAGAATCACCTGGGGACATTGTTTAATATGCAGCTCCCTGGCTCCTTTCTCAGATATCCTGAGCCAGGCCCTTTAGAGGTGAGGCCTGGGAAAATGCAGTCTAGTAAGCCCACCAAGTGTGCCTTATGTTCTTTGAAGTTTGAGAAATCCTAACTTAGATAAATGAATGTTTGTTCAGTAGTAGCTTTAAGTCCTTTTCAGAAGCACTTAGTAAATTTTCTAAACCATGTATTGAGGCATCTTTAAAATCACGTTCTACAAAGCCTTTCTTCTGACTGATTCAGAATTAAGTATAGGAAGGTTTAAGCAATAAAGTGTGGGGGTAAATTTTTCTCATACTTCCTGTTACTTCATTAAGACTGTCGGCCTGCATATCAGAGAGGATGATCCAAGAATGTTCTTAGCTCCTACCTCATCTTCCTAGCTGACCGAATAGGCACCTGTGGCCAGGGGAAATCTGCTGGCCTCTATCACTGGGTTTCCCCTGGTTTGTGACATTACAGATGGACTGTGGTGGTCACTGCTATTATCTTGATAAAACATATTATGGGGCCGGCACAGTGGCTCACACCTGTAATTCCAACACTTTGGGAGGCTGAGGCGGGTGGATCACTTGAGGTCAGAAGTTTGAGACCAGCTTGCCAACCCCGTCTCTACTTAAAAAATACAAAAATTAGCCAGGTGTGGTGGCACACACCTGTAGTCCCAGCTACTTGGGAGGCTGAGGCAGGATAATCCCTTGAACCTGGGAGGCAGAGGTGTGAGCCGATATCACGCCATTGCACCTGGGTGACAGAGGGCGACTCCATCTCAAAAAACAAAACATATGATGGGAGGTATCAGATGAGACGAAGAAACAGAAGGAGATGAAATTAGTGAAAATGAGAGAAGAGGAAAAGAGAAGAGAGGAGAGGAGGGAATGGGAGGAGAGGGGAGAGGAGGAAAGAGAAGAGAGGAGAGTTGATTATCTAGTTGGAATAAACCCCCATTGCCTTGAAAGTATTCTGCATAAGCAAGGCCTTTAATGGAGTGAGGATTGAAGGACTGGCCCAGAGGAACAAAAGGAAGGAATAAAGAAAGGTGACAAATCGAAGAAAAGAGCAAAGAGAAATAAGGATTGGCAAGAGCAAAAAGAACGTGAAGTACAAAGACTCCAAAGGAGTAAGGGTTTTTTTTTTAACTTTGCAAACACTCCATTTTACTACACTTAATTAATCATAACACAGGAACATAAATGTTTAAAGGGTGAAATAAAATGTACAGAAATATAGTCATACTCAACAAAAATAAGAACACATAAATTTAACATAAGGTTGTCATCCCTGCAGTCTCCAAGCTCACGGGAGTCAGCATCTCCACTTCAATTCCTCCAGCCACAAGCAAGTTCATAGTAATGAAGCTCTTTCTTTATTCTGGCTGAAATCAGTGAGTGAAATGCAGGAGGAAAGAGAAAAAAAATGTTCCAAAGAGAGAGGAAAAGGGCAGAGAAAAAGAGCAAGTATGACAGCGACAGAAATAACTTTATTCTCTCATGCTGGTGCCCTTCAGGCCAGGAAGTCCTCTGACGTGTCTAACTCAAATATCTCCTGCAATTCCAGCCAGTTTCATGATTTCCTGGGTCCATCCAATAAAAGCTGTGACAATTTACTGATTCAAAATACTGCAACATAAAAGAACAAAAATTTAAATAGAGTTTGACAGACCTTCTTTCTGAAATCTTGGATCTGCATGAAAGCAGAGTAGAGGCAGAGAATACACCAGGAACGAGAAAAATCTCTCCCCCTTTTCAACTATAAAAACCATCTGGATTTCCTGTCTCCTTGCCCCAAAGCCTTCTGCTATCAATATCTGGACATTTTCATCACGCTGCTTGAATCAACAGTGATTCAGGCCTATGTGGGGGGTGAAACTAATATAGTCCTCTGTTGGGGGAACTGAGGAATCATCACGTGACATCCTCAAGCTGACTTTATTCTCAGGTTTGACCTTCTGATGGTCTGTCTTGGTTCTGGTAACGGAGGTTTTGGGAAGCCGAAGGGCACCATTCTCTCAAATCTGAACTCTGCCCATGTCTCAGCTTCCACGTTGGGGGCCTTTTCATGCCAGGCAGGTTGCTGTTGCTGTCCCAGAATGACCAACCAGATGGACTTCTAGGACCTGTTTACATTTCCTTAGTGCATAGTTTCCTCCTCTGCCTGCTCTTGTACATGCAAACTCCCTTTCACTGGACTTGCATAATGAGCAATTCTTCCTCTATGAAGCCCCGGGAGCTTATCAATCTCCAAATCCCACTTCTGTAGAGGCCCCCGAAGCTTGTTCGACTGGCCCCTACAGACACCCTTCTTCGCCTGCTTCGGGACTGCATTTCAGTGGGCTGAGTCCTCCTTGGCTGACCAAAGCACACTGGGAAGGTTACAGCTGGTCTGTTGTGCCTTCAATGGACGGCAAAGGAAAATGGCTTAGATTCATGGTGGGCCTGTGGTTTGGCTACGGCTGCTTCAACCTTCCCTTGTATCCAAATCTGTGCGGTTTGTCCACCGTGGAAGTTTGTGTTTATCTCTGGGACAAACCAAACTAACCCCTGCCTTTTCCAAAGTTCTCAAATCCTTACGAGGCCATGGAATGTTAGAAATGGATAAGGATATACGCCGGGCGCGGTGGCTCAAGCCTGTAATCTCAGCACTTTGGGAGGCCGAGACGGGCGGATCACGAGGTCAGGAGATCAAGACCATCCTGGCTAACACGGTGAAACCCCGTCTCTACTAAAAATACAAAAAAATCTAGCCGGGCGAGGTGGCGGCGCCTGTGGTCCCAGCTACTCGGGAGGCTGAGGCAGGAGAATGGCGTAAACCCAGGAGGCGGAGCTTGCAGTGAGCTGAGATCCGGCCACTGCGCTCCAGCCTGGGCGACAGAGCAAGACTCCGTCTCAAATAAAATAAAATAAAATAAAAAAGAAAGAAATGGATAAGGATATAAATTTCAGTGTCACATATCTGAGCTATATACTGACTCCTGTGGAACCTTGGCCAACAAACTTCATTCTCAGCTCTCTGTAACATGTGGCTAGAGTCTCACAGGAATGGGGTAAAGGTTCAGAATGATTGCGCGACATTCTTATCATAGTGTCTAGCACAGAGATACTGCGGAGGAAAAGCTGATGAATAGTTTCTGCCTTTCTGAAGTCCCCAGGGTTCCATAATTGTTCTTTGGAAGTTTTGTCATTGTTATAGAGGCAAACCTCAGAGAATGCCAAGGTAGGGAGACCTTCTCCCTTGCCAGGAATTCCACCCCCGCCCCCACCCAGTCTACAGTGCTGGCTCCCCGTGTCCTTTGATCCTGGGAGGCCACTCCTATGGCCCAGTGGGTGAGGACATCATTCTTGTATCAGCAAAAGCCTCATCATACCTCGCAACTCCCAGTCCCCATGCCTTCTGTTTCTTTTCTCCAAGACTATGGGAGAGCACAGAAAACACGATTTTATGAATGCTTGGAATTCAGACCCAATATGTGACCTAAAGCATTTAGCGTCCTTTTATGCCATTCCTGAGAACTCCGATTATTGTAACCACATCTATTATAATTGATAACCCAAAAACTAACAGCAATACACTGTGTCTTCACCCAGAGAAGCTTGGAGGACCCCACGTGCAACCTAAGGCTACTTGCCCTATGTGGGAGAACACGTTTTCCTTGACAAATGTCTGACTGTAATCTGCTTTTCAATAGGTAGTAGATGCTCTCGGGCCTTGTAACTGGGCCACAGTAACCTGTGAGGGGTCACGATTTATATCTGAGAGGGTATGGTCACCACCACCTCTAACCACCAGTGCATGTCCAGCAGCCCCTGAAGGGGCTGTGGGACTCCTGAGCCACCTGCTGTGTGTCCATAATTATGGTGTTGACTGATAGATTTCAACAAATAAATCCAATTCTGAAAGATTCTAAAAGCCACATTCAAGTGAATGAGCAGAGTACACGAATCAATTAATTGTGTCTATTTTGGTCACTTGAAGGAAAGGGACAATATTTCATCAACAGCCTTTAGGGTAGGGATGACAAGCACTAACATCTGGAATCTAAGATCACCCTGATATCTTGGAGAATGTGGAGGCTCAAACAATGAGCCACGTCCTGGTCAGCTGTTTCAAAATGGCCCCAATCCTTTCCCTTTCTTTATCCATTGCCCTTTTAAGTGGAGCCCACGCCTCCACTCCTAGAATCCAGTCTGGTCCTGCAGTAAGAATGACCGCACCCCAGTTCCAAGCCCAGGCCTCGAGAGGCCTTGCATTTCTCTGTGTGCTCTCTTGGAACCCTGTAACTGTCATAAGAACAAGGCCAAGCTTGTCTGCTGGAGAATAGAAGACCACAGGGACTGGAACCAGACCATTCATGAGAGGCCATCCTAGACCAGCTCCTCCCAGACAGCCAACAGCTGACTCCAGAAACATGAGATTCCAGCCCAGAAGAGTTGCCAGTGAGCTAAATGAATGTCCATTGCTTGATGCCACAGGGCTTTGTGTGTGTTTGTCTGCTTTTCTTACACAGTATTATTGTAGCAATACCTAACAGATAAAAAAGGTAGCACCACATTATATCCCAATGAATCCAGCCGTAACTACTGACCATAACCTTAAGATGTTTTTTTCTCTTTTATAAGTTGCTCTTCCCACGTGTAGCTGATTGGGTCCAAGGCTACTGATTCCCTAACTATCTGTGGTCAAGGACCAGCTTTTTATTTACATATTCTTTTGTCCTATTTCTGTTTTGTTTTTACTTCTTATTTGAAATAATTATGGATTTATAAGAAATTGCAAAAAAATCAAATAATACAGGGAGGGCCAAGAATTTTTTTCTTTTTCCCCAATCCATTGTGGATCAAATATTTTTGTAAAATCAAAAAAGAAAGAGAGAAAAAGAAAGAAATAAAAGGAAGGAAGGAAGGAAGGAAGGAAGGAAGGAAGGAAGGAAGGAAGGAAGGAAGGAAGGAAGGAAGGAAGGAAGGAAGGAAGGAAGGAAAGAAAGAAAGAAAGAAAGAAAGAAAGAAAGAAAGAAAGAAAGAAAGAAAGAAAGAAAGAGAAGAGAAGAAAAGAAGGAAAGAAAGACAGACATACAGAAAGAGAAATAAGTTACCGGGAAGATGAAACAAAATCTTAAAAGATGTGTAAAGTATTAGTCCAAATTCTTTATGATTAGATTAAAAGGAATAGACATAAAGTTACACACATTTTTATGAAAATTTCTAAATGCTTATTTTGGGTTTGTACATGTAGCTCATGTTTTGTGGCTTGGTCCCAATCCACAGACCACTTCTAAGTAGTATTACTTTCAACTTTTCTGGAGATGAGAAATGGAAACTAAGCTTAAGTACAGTGGGAATAATTTTGGTCTCGAATGAACCTAAGGTCTTTCACAGAGGATATTTTTACAATATATTTTACCCTAAGTGCTATAAAAGAGTGCTTTTGTGGTTATCTAACCCTGGATGATGGGAAGAAAAAACACAAAATACATTTCAGCCTTTATACAGGAATTTTCCTTACTGATTTTCTTTCTTCTCTTCATCACTAAAACAAACAACAAAAACAAAACACAAACACTGGCCAAGCGCCGTGGCTCACGCCTGTAATTCCAGCACTTTGGGAGGCTGAGGTTGGCAGATCACTTAAGCTCAGCAGTTCGAGACCAGCCTGGGCAACATGGTGAGACCCCATCTCTATAAAAAATAAAAAAATTAGCCAGGCATGATGTGTGCACCTATAGTCCCAGCTACTTGGGAGGCTGAAGTGGGAGGATCACTTGAGCTTGGGAGGTTGAGGCTGCAGTGAACCTTGATGGCACCACTGAATTCCAGCCTGGGTGACAGAGCAAGACCCTGTCGCAAAAAAAAAAAAAAAAAAAAAAAATACAAAAAACACAATGCAAGGCCATGCCAGCGTTGAGGTTCAGATATTCAATATGCTTGCCTCTAAACAATGTAAATCAAAATGAATGTATTACTAGCTAATATGCCCCTACGCCCCTTATGAAAGTTTTAGAGTTTTTCATTTTTTTTTGTTTAAATTTCCATTGAGAGGTAGATCCTAATGCCCTGCCTTCTGCCTTTCCTGGATCTTGGGGAAGTAAGCTCCCAGAGAAAAGTCCTCCGCTTCCAAGATGACTCAATGTAGAGATGAAGTAGAAACCTCGCTTTGTTCTAAAAGGCAGGAGAAGGAGAGGAACTCTAAAAGATCTGGCTGCAGACCAGGCTGCTGAGGTGGGTACAATATCCCAACTCATTAAGATGATACTCTGATATCCATGACTGCTCCCTCTGACAATTCCCCCCAGCATGGGAAAGACAGCCCACAGCCCACACATGAGAGGCATCATCCACACCATGCATCAGGTCCCTCCTCAGGGAGAGCCTGTCAAGGACTGGACACGATGACAGTGGCGGAAGTGAAGGCAGGTTACTTGTGCCATTTTTCTCTTTTCCTCTTTGTCCACTTACCTAATATATGGCCACCATTCCCTAAGTGTTATAGAAGAGTGTTTAATTTGGTGGGACCATGCAAAAGGATGAGAGGAGGGCAGAGATCACTTGCAAATCATGGAAAGCTCACCCCATTTCCACCCCTGTGCACTGTTTTTCTGCATCTGTTCCTAGCTCTTTCCAATCCCTTCTCCAGGAAAAGGCAAATCTGATCACAGCACTATTACGTTTCCAAAGCATTTGAAGTCTTCCCATTGATCTTAGAACAAACCTTCAAGGTCATAGTATGGTTTCTATGGTCCAGCATGGCTGAGCCCCTAAGAACATGTCATCTTCAGGCCATCTCAAGTGCCTCACTCACTTGGGCACCTTCATATTGGTCTTTTCTCCCTCAGACTTAACAAGCTCCTTCCCACATCTGGATCTCCACCCCATCCTCAATCACACTCCTTTTCTCCTAACTTCCCATGTTTCATTTCTCAGCCTTCAACTCCCAAAGTAAATTAAACCCCCGACATCAGTTCTGAGCTCTTTTGCCCCCATCCCACCACAGACACTATCACAACTGTACAACTGTAGGCATATCATTTTGTGGGTGATTTCTGTTTATTTATTTATTTTTTTGGGAAATCATGCTCTCTAGCTTGTACACACCTTGCTGTTATCTTGTCTTCTCTACTTGACAACTCTAGCCTTACACTTTTGATAAAACCAGTGATGCATTGGTTGTCAATATAGTGACCACCTGCAAAACTTCTGAAATATCCTCTGTAGAGAAGCCCCAGTAAGGCTGTGTACCCATTGTATATGCCCTTTTAGAGAGAGCCCGCTAAAGTACCTTGTTTGTCAAAAAAAGAGACCTTCCAGAATGACTCAGTTGCCTTGCTCTTTCCTTCACCATCAGGACGATGAGCGCCAACTCTATGTCGAGACATTCCCCAGTCCTAGTTGCTTCCAACATGGAGGAACTAAAAGACAAAGTTGAACAGATATTTATTCTTTCAGCTACAACTTGAGTGGCTGCTCAATATTTAAGTCAAAGGAGAATCCCTACAGTCATGCATCAAACTTCAATTACTAGGTTTCATTTAGAATACCTGCTTACCCACACTAAGCCCTTACCCACAAACACACCTCCTTTGTCCCTCATAGTTGAAGTCCATTCAGAATATATACCATAAATGTATTTAAAATAGTGTTCATGTGGAAAGAAATGAGTATAATTTTGAATTCATACTTGCTATTGTCATTTTGAGTTTTTAGTAAAAATTATTTTTTCAATACTTTTTAATATTAATTATTAATGTGATATTAATATTATCACATGTGATAAAACTGGCCAGTATTCAGCACAATGTTTTGGTCAATGTATTTTAGTGAACATTAATTTTCCATTTAAAAAATTCAGATTACAACTACTATTTCTGTAGAGTCTCATGATGTCAAACACTATTGAACCTGCAGTAGCATCAATCCATGAAACAGGTCAGACATCACCAAACCTACGAGGATTCTTTCATTTATGATACATCTATTAGAGGCTTAAACAGTTAGCCATTTTGTCATAGAAGAATATACTAAGAAACTGCATGTAAATATAAACAGGGATTCTCTTGTGACGTCTCCTTTTTGGAGGGCTGAGAAGGCTGCTGCTTCCTGCCATGATGGGGTAACAAAAATTGGGCTTAACTGACCATAATAAACAATCAGAAAACTAAACAAAATGTATGAATTAACTGTTTTCAGACATTAAATAACAAAAACAAAAAATAATAATTGCTGAAAGAAGATAAAATTTCTGGAGGAAATTTCTAAACTGCATTCGGGAAGGGTAACCCTAACAATATGTAATAGCCTTCATGAATCAAGGACAGAGAGAACGGAGTTCAAGAAACCTTTGACTACGGAATGTTGTAGGACAGAGTTCCAGAAAGGAGGAAACTAGCCTGGCAATCCTAAAATATTAACTTGGTGTTTACAAAAAAGTTTGCTAACCCTTGCCCTAGAAATAAAAACCACAGTTTATAAAGTAATAGTTTTACTGGATGAAAGTAACAACAGATTAGACACTGTGGAAGAAAAGATCAGTAAACATGAAGACAATAATAGACTCTATCTAAAATAAAGCATCCAGAGAAAAAAGACTGCAAATAAAATAAACAGAGCCACAGCGATTTGGGGACAATATTTAGTGGTCTAATGTACATGTAACAGGAGTAGTAGAAAGAAAGGGAAAAGGGAATAAAGGATAAAATTATTTTAAAAATATAATGGCTTAAGTTTTTAAAAATTTTATAAAAACTATAAACTCAGAAATGAAATAAGGTCAATTAATTCCACACAGAACAAACACAAAGAAAACCTCACTGAGGCGTACTGTAATCAAATTGCTTAAAACTGGCGATAAAGACAAAATATTAAACAAATATTAAACACTGCTGGAGGAAAAAGAAGTCACTTTATGTAATAAGAACTAGAGCAGGGAACTATGCAAGCTTTAAATCAATAGAATAACATCTTTAAAGTACTAAAAAGAGAAAAGAAGCTACATTCAGTTAAAACAGTCCCTAAAAATGAAGACAAAATAAAATCTTTCGCAGACAAACAAAAACTGAAAGAATTTATTACCAATAAATCATTGCTATATGATATATTGAAACAAGTTGTTTGGGCAGAAGGAAAACAATGACAGATGAAAATATAGACTTACACACACACAAAAGAGCACTTAAAGAGGTCAATATTTTCTTTTTTCTTTTTAATTTCTTTATCAGATAAATGAATGTTCAAAGCAAAAAGAAACCAACGTATAATGGGATTTTATAATATACGTAGAAGTAAAATGTATGATCACAACAGCACAAAGAACGGGAGGGGGAATGTAAGGACATTCATTTCATTTTTTACATTACACAAGAAATAATATTATTTCAAGGCAGTCTATGATAACTTAAGTGCATATTACAAACCCTAGAACAACCATTAAGAGAAAAGTAAACAAGATATATAGCTAATAAGCCAACTGTGGATATAAATGGAATAATAGAAAATTTATCTTTTATCCAAATAGTAGCAGAAAATGATGAAATAAATCTAACGAACACGTGAAACAAATACAAAACAAGTAGCAGGATGATAGGCTTCAAACCAATTATATCAGTAATTATATTAAATGTAAATGGTCTAAATGCATAAAGAAAAAGGCAAATATCAGACCGAATACACAAGCAATACCAAACTACATGATATCCACTAGAAATCTTTTAATATCAAAAAATAGATGTGCTTTAAAAATATGTCATGCAAAAATTAACCATAAGGAAGCTGGAGATGCTGTATTAATATGAAACAAAGTAGAACAAAAGGTATTACCATGAATAAAGAATGGCATTTCAAAATAAAGGGCTACAGAATTATACATTTTCAATTCCAGCACAATTAAAATGAATTTTCTTATGGTATTTCTATTATCAAGCATCCAAGCTGATTAAAGTTAAGCCCTGTTTCAGCTACTTTGGACTTGAATTTTTAAAAACTAGAAAGCAGATTACATACTCCTTTCCTGTTCCAATCCTACTTTCCAGTATATACAACTTTGTTTGTCACTCTTTATCTAATTCCTTTTATTTATCTAAAGTTCTCTTCAGTCCTTCTCTTTTATTCTTCAGTTGCTATCTTGATCCAAGCAGATTGATATCTTAATTTGAGTTCTGTTTTGTCTTATGTTACTTCTACCTGTGGCAGAGCCTGCAAATTGTCCACCAATATCATTTTATCCTTCTTCCTTTAATAGCAGAACTCCTGTCTTTAATCTGGGAATATTGGTACCCAGTGGAAGGCTAACTTTCGAGCCTTGCCTGGCTGTATGGCCATGTGACAAAGCTCTGTCATTTCCTGGTTGTGCTTTAAAAGGAATCTGTATGTGAGCTTCATGCTTCTGTCCATCTTCCCACTGCTGAGAAACACTTGTGATAAAGTGGCTGAGATTCCTTTTTTTGTTTAAGCTCTATATTACTGGGTGGCTCTCTTTGTAATAGCAGCTTAGAATAAATCCTAACTAATACTGTATAGTACCTCTTTAATTTTCTTTGCCCAAGAGAGCTGATAAATTTGCATAGTAACTCAAATTTCTCCTGCAATCCCTGTATTATCCCTATTTAAAGAAAACAATGAGAAATTGCTGTTACTTTTTAAACTGCGAACAAGGACTCTGAGAAAAGAATCCAGCCCCTACTTTTACTCTTGCTAACTTTATCCATGATAGAGTCAACTTATTTCTTTAAAACACATGCAGGTGATTGTTAGTCTCTAAAGAAGTGAAGACCCCCTAGAGAAAGCTGTTAATGTGACTTTTCAGTAAAAGAAAACAATAGGCACATATAGATTCCGGTGTCAATTTGTTAGGCTCAGGATGAGCCCCCTCATCCTTCTCAACCTCTCCAGGCTGCCTCATGAAAGGGGAAGGGTGTGCCTGTTCTCCACACTACACAGGCTTTCCTGAGCCTGGCCCCACACCTAGCTTCTTCTGGGCTGCAGATTTTCTTTCCTCCCAGCTTCAGCTGCTCCTGTTTTCCTGTTTCTAACACTCTTCTTTTGTCCTCAGGAGTCATTATGGAGACATAACTAACCATCAGTCTCTGTATATAATCAGGATTAGAATAATTAAGGTAATATGAAGGGTTGGAAATTTGGAACACTCAGCAAAGCTGAATTGGATTCCTACTATCAAGTTATTTGAATCCTTTCAAACAGCCAGTGGGATAGCCTGTAGAGCCTCCCAGCCCCTGCCTAACCTCTGGAAAAATCTCGTCGCAAAACAAACACTACTGCAGATTAAAACCAAGATTCTCAGGAGGGACCGCTTAGCATCAACATGTTGCCTTGCTTACGTTAAGCCATCTCTGCTCTGGTGCCGGGATGGAGAATAATTGCCAGGATTGTGTGGAGGCCCATCATTTTGCTTTCTCTGAAGCAGCTTTATCAGGAACGAGCCCCAGGGTGGCATTACTTAATCAATAGCAGAGATACAGAGACAGAAAGAGAGTTCACAATAAACTGATTGCTGCATCTGGTTTCCTATGAGCAGTTACAAGACCAGTGAAAGTCCTCTAATCTCATCAAGCAACCAGACAGATTGATTTTGAGTTCATTAATAGCTGCTGGGGTGAAGGAGAGAGAAAGGAAAAAGAGGAAATGAATGCATCATTGGGATCTACACCCTTAATGCAGATCAAGAAGCTCTTTCAAAAACCATTCCTGGCTAGGAGAGAGCACTGAGCAAGGATCTGGTGCCCGGCTTGGAACCACAATTAACACCCAAGGCCTGGCCTGGAACCACAATTAACACCCAAGGCGACAATTAACACCAAGGACCAAGGAGTAACATCTTCCAACCAGGAAACCACATGTTTTCAATTCATCTGCAAAGCACCCAAAATACAAGTGAAAAGAAAACTCCTGTGTTATTTATGCAGATATTTTGTTTACATGATATCAAATAGCTTTCATCCAAATATTTGGCAGCATTTACATTAATAGAAGTGCTTTAGCAAACTCAGAGCTACCGATCAGCCTTACCCACCAAAGGGAAAAAGAAAACAAACTGAGACTATGCCTAAAAAGAACATGAAATAACAATAAGTCAATTTGATGTTGGATGTAGGTGCTTCTAACTCAGCTAATTCAGAATTGGTAGAGGGCAGGCATATCTAGACTACATTGTACCTCCAAGCTCTTTTTATTCCCTTCTCTGATAACCAACATGTTAATGTTGGGAAGAGCTAGCGACCCATCAAAAAGTGGATATTTTTGATACAGGTGTCTTGTTGCTTTATAGAACAGGTATATTCCTTGAAGGCTGTATACAAATTGATTCAATAGTAAAATACACAGAAGTGGCCAGTTTTACTTAGAGGAATTACAATCCTCTTATGAATAGATAACTGTCTCCTAATATATCAAGCTTTTA